TGCGCCAGGCTGGCTGCAAGGGGGCACCAGCCCAGCCACATCTCTTGCATTGAGACCCGGGGTGTGGGCACAGCGGCAGCGGACGGGGACACCTCAGCTATGGGGCACGGGAGGCTTTTCAGCCTGCCCAGCAGCGCCGGGATGGTTGCCAGTAAATCCAGGACAGAGCCAATTGCTGGGCCCCCGGGTGGACCCGAGCGATTGGAACAGAGCGAACGGCGTTAACGCCATGGGGCTGACGTGGGACACAGGCAGCACCTAGGACTCGGGCTGCACTCCTTCCGGGGGGGCATCCCCCCTCACTGCCAATGGCCGTAGCCGTCTGCACAAGGCACCCCAACGCTGGCCTGCATCAAGGGGGTTCACACTCAGCTACACTGGCCCAGCTCCCGCCTGCTCCTGCCACCCTAGCAGAGACATGCAGCCTCTTGCTTGGCCACGCAGGTGCGTGTTGGCTTGGAGTAGCTGCATGCATGAAACCAGGGCTTGCTCGCTAAAGAAACGAATGTCTGTGCTGACTCATTGCACTTACTGCTGCTATTACAGGTCAACTCCCTATGTCTGGGACTATTCCCTGTCTGTATTTAATGGCTAAGCCTGTAGCTCTTATTTTTGTGGTCTGCCCCCCCAAAAGCCCTGTGTAATTTACTAGCTGACGATTCGTGCCTCTTGAAATGACAATAATGATTATTGCAAACTGTCAACGTATTAAAACACCCTTTTTGTGTGTTAAACTCCGTGGAAGGCTCCATGTTTCAGACCCAAAGCTGGACAGTTGAAATCATGAATATAGACGTTGCTGTGAATCTGTAATGACACTGATTTTAAGGCACCGCCAAAATAAAACTGGTGAAAAGTGAACTCCATTGCTTGTCATTGGCAATTACTGGGCTTTATTATTTGATCTGTTGCAATCATTCCTTCCCAGGCAGCAGGTTTAAAACAAACAAAAGGACGTTTTTTCGTCACACATCAGACAGTCAACCCGTGGAACTCCATGCCAGAGGATTTTGTGATGCCCAAGACTATAATAGAGTTTTAAAAAGACTTACCGGTAGATAAATTCATGGCTGAACTACCATGGAAAAGTCAGAGAGGGCTTGATGGCTCTTAAGCGAGAGAGACCGGGTTAAGTACTGTGTCTTATGTAAACCAAATGAGAGGGTTAGTAGATAAGTGGGGAGGGGGAATGTGCGATTGGGTTGTTCAGGAACTGGCCCATATGTTGTAAAACCATGTTTATGGGATAAAAAGGTAGGAAAAGCAGAAGCACTTGCTTTTTATGCTGATAAATTCGATATTCCCAAGCAGCAAGTAGGGATAAACCACAAGAAGGGGTTTAACTTTGGTGGAAAGCCAGGTCCCCATTTTACCCCTGGGAAGAAATCGGGTAGATGGGAGGCTGGGCACTCACATCTCCAAGTTCACTCCTCTGGTCCTCATCCCAAATCCCCTGTAAAGCAGAGGACCCAGAAGGTGCTATCATTGTACGTCTGCTGAGCCCATGAGGAATAAACGCCCTGTGCTGAGTGGGAACAGGCAGCAGGTAACCCAGGGAAATGCTACTGCCCAGAGCACAGAGACACATGGGCAGTTGCCCCTTATCACACAGGATTTGCGGAGATTGCCGCTGCACAGCCAGGCAGCTAACACATGAAGGCTGGGTGCTGCCGTGAGGGCAGGGGACTGGACTTGATGAGCTCTCGAGGTTCCTTCTGGTTCTAGTGTTCCACGTGTCTGTGGGGGGAGGGGGCAATGCGGGATGCTAATGCAGGGAGGACGTTCAAAAAAGAACTACATAGATTCATGGCAGTTAGGTCCATCAGTGGCTCTTAGCCAGGATGGGCAGGGTTGGTGTCCCCGGACTCTGTTTGTCTGGGGCTGGGAATGGGCAACAGGGCAGGGGGGGCCTGAAAGGGTTCCAGTGTGGGGCTGAAGGGTTCAGGGTGTGGGGGGGAATGGCCAGCAGGCCGGGCTGCCCGCCCAAGGAGCTACAATAGAGGGGCATTAGCTCAAGGCACCCCAATCTGACTGTGCCCCAGATCACAGTCCCCTCCTAGCCTAGGTCACGTCCCAAACCCCTGCACTCCAGGTCACAACCTCCTGCTTCATCCCAACTCCCTCCCAGACTCCAGTCTCCCTCCTGCACCCCAGTCCCTTACCCCAAGCTCCCTTCTGCATCCAACCTCCGTCCCAGAGCCCGCATCGCCTCCATTAATATCATGGAAGAGTGCGGCCCTCGACCACTTTCCAAAATCTTGGAGTGGTCCCCCGTCCTGATGATCTCACACCTGGCCGTGAATTATATTGCTGTTAGGGTTGCCAGGTGTCCGGTTTTGAACCGGACAGTCCAGTATTTGAGCTTTATGTTCAGGAAACAAATTGAGAAAATGTCCGATATTTTCTCCGATGGAATGTGGATTGTGATGTCATGTCAAGTGTGGCCGGGATTTTCGTTGAAACCATCTGGCAACCCTACGGGCAGGGTGGGTGGAAGAGGCCGAGGGCTCTGTGTTGGTGGGGGCCAGGAGCGGGTGACAGATAGACGAGCCGCACCCCAAGATTGTGAACAGCGGCTCTACACTAGTGATGCAGGCATAATAAAACACCTAGGGGCAGGACTGGCAACAGACTCTGCTGGGCCAATAAAAGAAAGTTCTTCTTCACACAGCGTGTAGTCAACCTGTGGAACTCCTTGCCAGAGGAGGCTGTGAAGGCTAGGACTATAATAGCGTTTAAAGAGAAGCTAGATAATTTCATGGAGGTTAGGTCCATAAAAGGCTATTAGCCAGGGGATAAAATGGTGTCCTTGGCCTCTGTTTGTCAGAGGCTGGAGAGGGATGGCAGGAGACAAATTGCTTGATCATTGTCTTCGGTCCACCCTCTCTGGGGCACCTGGTGTTGGCCACTGTTGGTAGACAGGATATTGGGCTAGATGGACCTTTGGTCTGACCCAGTACGGCCGTTCTTATGTTCTTATGGGCCCTGAGCAAGGGGGGGGAGGGCGTGGCACTGGGCCCACCCAGAAGGGGCAGAGCCTTGGCAGGAGAGGGTGGAGCCAGGGGCAGCCAGCCCTCAACACAACTTGGACCACGGCATGAGACGCTCTGGCCATAATTTAAGTGCCCAGGGCACCTGCCGCTGCAGTAGCAACAATGGCCTTTTCAAATTGCCACGCCCCGGGGCAACTGCCCCTTTGCCCCCCCCCGTCGGCAGCCCTACCTGTGGCTGGAGCTGTGATGGGGAGACATGTTACCATTTCTCAAGGGTTCACCAACTCTGCCTGCCCCCTGTCCTGGCAGGCCAGCGCCTAGCAAAGTGCAGGCAACAGTGTTAGCCTGTTGTTCAGCTATGACTCATTCACAGCACCTGTTATGTACAGCGTGTGTGCGCTCGTGGGGCATTGTAGGGGTACAGCAGCAGGCCAAGCAGTATTTTGAGGGGCTCGTCTCCCCCAGAACACAAGGCCTGGAGGCCGAGGCCGGCACGCTTCCAGCGGAGCTATTTCAGGCCTTGGTGACAAGAAATGCTGACCTCCGCCTGTGCGTGAAGTGTGCCTGTGTTTACCGGGTGGGAAGGAACCACATGGGCCGATTGCGAAACATTTGCTGGAAGAGTAATTTTAAATCTTAAAACTGCAGCAGAAGCGCTTCTGGGTCCCACATCTGCCTTAACCACAGGCCACAGACGTGCTGCTATGCTCGGGAGCGTAATGAGAACTACACGCTGCCCGAGAGTGGGTGCCAGGGCACCACGGAGACAAGGGCTGAGACTTTCATGCAGCAATAGGGCCGGTGAATTTTTTCCCGGTGGCCCGTCAGGATCAGGTCATCCAGAGATTTCAGCATCGGCAGG